ACACCGCATTCCTTCCTATCTTCAGGCATGTGACGCTCCTTCCATGTGGACCTGTGTCCTCCCTCAGATCGTGGCATAGCCATCTCCTACTCATCTTCAGATGTCAGCTCTTTAGAGAGCTCTCCCTCCCCACGGCAATCATCAGCGCCTGAGATGGTCCTAGTGACTGACTTGTTTAATCTGTCTGAATGCTAGAATGTATATTTTTGTTATGCCATACCCTCTGCTGTGTTCCAAATGGTAACAACAGCGCCTGGCTCATAAATGATGCTTTACAAAGTTTTACAGATTGACAAATTTTTTACTAACTACCAGAAGAGAAGGAAAGGAGACCATGGCAACTCTAAGCAAACAGGCCCACTAACAGCTCAGAAGCCTAAGGGGAGAAGGTTTGGGCCACCTTACCTGGCAAAGAACCCTACCAGTTAAGGTGCTGGGCAGAGGTAAGGGCAACACACAGTGGGAACTGGAGAAACAAAGTCAAAAATACCACCTATAGCATTGCAACCAAAGACAGGAGAGAGAAATTTCCTTTTTTGATGTCATGGGTGGTGCAGTTAACATACTTGGCTGTTAACCAAAAGGTTGGGGGTGGTTTGAGTCCACCTAGAAGCACCTCAAAAGAAAGGCCTGGCTATATACTTTCCCCAAATCAGCCATTGAAAACCCTACAGAGCACAGTTCTACTCTGACACACATAAGGTCACCACAAGATGGAATCCACTCAACAAAAACTAGTTTTATATTAAAATACATAACTCATAATATTTTATTTTCTATTTCCTTTTTCTTTCCCTCTACCTATGATAATAGAGTGTGTTGCTTAAATTTCCCTCAGGTGATAAAAATTCAAAAGGCACTGCAACAGAACTGGAGGAGGACTGGATGTTCCAAGGAGGTCTAGACTTGCACAGAGGATGAGAATTCTACTACTGAACCACCAGTGTCTCATGGGTATTCAGCCTGAGTGGACAGGCTGTTTGGATGCCTGCCTCCTAATACAGAAGGTAATGGGTCCCTTCAGGCACCTAAGCTTGGAGAGTGGAATCTTCTATTCTGGGACTTGAGTGAGTGACAGATGGCTAGAAAGACTGGCATTTGCTCCTGGTGCCAACAGAGATACCAGGACCACTCCTTGCTGCTACATGGCCTTTCCTGTAGTTCCCTGGCTCCCAGGAGCAACCCTGATTGCTGTCCACTTTCTAGCCTGGTTCCCCAGCCATCCTATCAATTCTAAGAGCCACTGACACTCCCCCAAGAAATTCCCTTTTTACTTAAGCTAGCCAGAGTTAGCTTTTGATGCTTCTCAACCAAAGAACCCTAACATCAAAAAACAGGGTTACAAAAAGCATGGAATCAGGGCATGAACATATGTGCATGAAGTTGGAGGAGAAACTGTCTATATTTCTACCACCTTAATGACACTATTTTCATTTTCACATATTCTTTTTACACCTTTGACCATGTGTACATATTGTATATGGATGCAATCAAGGTATACATGTGATTTTATTTCATATACTTACTCTCTTAAAATTAGTCATTTTTTTCTTTCGTTACACTGTCCATGTTATAACCTGTTTTGAAGTAGTTTCCCATACAACCACTCAACCAACCATTCCACTATAAATGGACATTTAAATTGCTTCAATTTTTTGCTATCACAAGTAACTCTGTGAAGAACATCTTCATGCATAGCTTTTTCATCCATTTGGATAACCTTCTCAAGATGCATCACCAGACGCTGATTATTAGATCAAAGAAAGTGAACATGAGACATATGGCCAAACTGCTTTGCAGAAGGATTGTAATCAATTTACTCTGAGTTTCATACAACTCTGAATAGGAAGAATTTTTGAATAGGAAGAATTTTGACATATGGTAAAGAGAAGGAAGGGAATTCTATGCAGAGGGAGTAAGCAAAGGCAGAGAGTGTGACAGCCTATGGCTGACTAAGGGAAGGCTGAATAGTAAGGTCTGGCAGGAGAAGTGGGGGAGACAGATGGAAAGTTAGACTGGGGCTGCATGAAAAGCCTGCATACCAGTCCAAGGAGCTTAGACCTTATTCCACTGGTGACGGGGAGAGCTTGAAAGGAAATAATCTAGTAGGAGCTGAACGTGAAAAATAACTCTGACAAGAGTGCATATGGAAGACGGGCATGAAGAAGCGATTGGAGACATAGGTAGAGAAAAGGTCAATGAGCTTTAGAAGCCAGGGACCCTGGAGAATGAAAAGTGACTCTGTGGACATGGGTTCTGACCCCAAGGCTTGCAGCTTGCTCGTCTGGGAGGAAGACAAAACCGTCAGGACAGATGGGCCGCAGGCTTATTTCAAGAGTAATAGGATCTCTTTCTTTGGACTTGTTGGGTTTGAGAGGTTTTCAAGTTTCCTCAATCTCTAGCTGCTATCTAATTTTTCTCTCCCATTACATCTTGCTTGATAAAATTGTGTAACCTTGAATTCTCTCATTAAAATGTGTGGAAGTGAGTTAGAAACCATGTAAGCACATTAGAGGCAGTCACATTTCCTCATTATTCACCAACTCTATGACCTCTCACAACCCTGTCTGGCCCTGCATGCCCACTCCCTGAGCCTCTCCTCCCCACCTACTTCCAGGTCAGAGGTCATCAGTGACCCTGCCACCATGATTGCTGGCCCTTTCTGAATCTTCACGCTCTTCAACTTCTGTCTTTAAGACTTCCCTCAGCTTCAGCGATACTACATTCTTTTTTTTCTCTTTTAGTTCTCTGACCAATCCTTGTCTACAGCCTTCTCCTCCTCTTCTCACCCTCTAAATTTTTTTTATTATCATGGTGTCTTAGTTATCTAGTGCTGCTATAACAGAAATACCACAAGGGGGTGGCTTTAACAGAAATTTATTTTCTCACAGCTTAGGAGGCTAGAAGTCTGAATTCAGGGCACTGGCTCTAGGGGAAAGCTTTCACTCTCTGTCCACTGTGGGGAGAGGTCCTTGTCTCTTTTGAGCTTCTGCTCTTGGGTGATATTCATGTGACTTGGCATCTCTCTTCCCGTCTCTGCTTGACAACTTGCGTTTAATCTCTTTTATATATCAAAAGCGACTGACTCAGGATACAGCCTACACTGAACCTACTTCATTAACATAACAAAGACAATCCATTTCCAAATGGGATTATAACAACAGGCATAGAGGTTAGGATTTACAACACATTTTTTGCGGGGGACACAATCCAATCTTTAATGTGTGCTAAATATGTATGTAACAAAACATTTGCCACCTCAACATTCTCCATGTGTACAGTTTAGTGACATTAGTTATGTTATCATGTTGTTCAACCATTACCATTATCCACTTCCAGATTTTCCCATCACCTTTAACAGAAGCTCAGTATCCCCTAAGCAATGAGTCTCCGTTTCCCCCTTCCTCCCACTCACCCCTGGGAACCACTAATGAACTTTGGTTTTTATATACTTCCCTATCCTAGGTATTTCATATAAGTTCACCCTCTAAATTTAAATGTTCTCAAAGTGACATTCTCAGCCCTTTCAATTATCTTGAAACTACACTATCTAAATCCATTCATTCTTATGGCTGAAGTTGCCACCATTATGTGGCAAACTTGTCCACACAGCCAGTTAGTGGCTGTGCTGGAACCAGACTCCCAAGGCTCAGCTCATTACCCTCCTCAACCACCATACTATATTCATAAAAGTCAGGCAGTACATCTAGCAGTTGATGCTGTAATCGACTCATTAATCATCTGTCATGCTTCTTTAAAGCATCATTACAGTCCTGTGGTTAAAGCATGACCTTCAGTAATGAAAACTCCATTTCACTGTAGGTTCAAATCCTATTTCTGCTGCTTCCTGGGTGAGTAACAGTTTACTTCTTTATGCTTTGGCTTTTTTTATCTGTAGAATGAGGAGAAAAATACCGGTTGCCGTCAAGTCGATTCCAACTCATAGCCACCCTATTGGACAGAGCAGAACTCCCCCCATAGGGTTTTCAAGGCTGTAATCTTTACGGAAGCAGACTGCCACATTTTCTCCTGAGGAGTGGCTGGTGGGTTCGAACTGCTGATCTTTCGGTTAGCAGCCGAGCACTTTAACCACTGTGCCACCAGGACTCCTTTAGGATAATAACAGTATCTACACTGAATAAATGAGTTAATATACTAGAGCACATAGGAGAGTGTCTGGCACATGGAATATGCTCAGTAAACGTCAGCTCTTACTCACATCGAGCGTGTGACTGGCTGTGCCATCACTCACCTTGCTGATTGGTACTGAAGTGAATGTTAATGCAGGGGAAGATTTCATTTTTTACAAATTTTAAAATCACTCCAAAACATGAGGTATTAATACAAATAAACAAATGTTTATTGGATAAACACTATGATGGCTGGGGTAGCTGGGTGATGCAAACAGTTAGCTGCTAACCGAAAGGTAGGTGATTCAAGTCCATCCAAAGGCACCTCAGAAGAAAGGTCTGGCAATCTACTTCCAAAAACTCAGCCACTTAAAATCCTATGGAGCACAGTTCTACTCTAACACGCATGGAGTTGCCATGAGTCGAGGTCGACTCAACAGCAACTGGAAAAAGCACTATGACAATGTATTAACTACAGTACTATATAAACAGTTTTTTGGTGTTCAAAACAGTATTGGTGAATGTCAAACAACCCAGAAAAAGCTTTAAAAAGATTAAGGCAAGTCCTAAGGACTCCATTCTCATTTGAATTTCCACCTGTAAGAACTGAGGTACGTAGAGACCATGAGAGAAGCAAACTCCTCCCACTTGGGTCCCTGTGATGGCCCAGAGAGCACTGACCTGGATAGCTGGTAACAGCCGACCTGACAATATTCATAAATGCCTGGGAACAGGATGAGCTCTGCTTCACTATCAGAAGAGCAGAAGCCCCAACCCAGAGAGAGGCAGAGACAGTGCAATCACCCATGCACCTGCTTTTAAGGGGAAAGTCAAGGGCAGGCCTCTGCTCAGAGGGCACATGAGACTTACTGTTGGATGCTCTCATCTGGCGCCGGCGTCCCACTCGATCCAGCCCGATGGGGGTGCTCTGGGAAAACGTTAACGGACGGAACCGGGCCGAAACAGCTTTGTATGGTGGCACCTGGTGAGCTGGCACCGGAGGCCTGGTGGCAGGCTGCAAGAGGAAATCAAAGAGCTGTGAGGAGATGCCAGGAAGTCACAGCTCCTGCAAGAAGATCACACACAGCTGCAAGGCACTCAGAGTTCTCGCCTCAAAGCCACTCACAGCTGTGAGATGGCTCCTCCAAATCATGTAAGCCTCGGCTGCACCAAGGCTCAACTGCAATTAATTATTCCGAACATTTAAAAAAATCATATGAACCCACTGGCTCTTACTTCATAGTATCACTTTCATCGTATTTGTCAACTACATACCAGAAGGTCACACCAGTTAAAAGCAAAAAGTCTCAGAAGAGGAAAAGTAACTTTAGGAAGTGATGGAGTTCTCACACAGAGAAAGTGTCAGAGGATGAGGAAGATGCCTTTCAGGAAGCAACTGCTAAAGGAAACAAATATCGAGCCAGAAGCCTGTCACCAGCCAGGGTGATTTCTATCTTTCCACCCAGCCCCCTAAATTAGGTTACGCTGCAGAAAATTATTTTACTACACACCTCTCTGACGCTCTGACTTGGAATAATTCTTAGGTGCTTAGAATTTCTTCCCTATGCTTTGTTTTGAGCTGAAATAGATTAGAATTTGATTTAGCTCAGAAATATTTCCTGTGTAGCAACGTGGAGCATCTTAGACAATCAAAAGCTCTTAAAGATTTCATGGTATTCTTCAACTTAACTTGTTTTTACATTGAAATTTAATTCAACCCAATTTGGCGAAGGAGTTTTTGAGTGCTTGCTATAAACAAGGCGTTGTGCTGGGGTTTACAGGAGTGTGTGAACATACAATCCAATACTAAGACTAATATAGAACTTCCCTTTTAAGAGAATTTGACAGGTTATTTATGACATGAGCTGGCAGGTTTTTATGAGATTGGACACTTCCTCATATATTGCTGTGTGAACTCTTAATCACGGCCTGGGTATCTGCCTCACCAAATAAGTGTAAACTCTTCCCCAACAGGGCCTTTAAATGTTTTGTATCCTCAACATGCTCACTGAGTACTTGACTGACATGTTAATTCATAAAACATGCTAAGGGACCAACAGTAAGATTTTAATCTATTGTTGAACCAGTTGCAAAGTTGCAATTCAAAAGTAAAGATTAAGAAAATGATTTTTTTTTAGAATTATTTCCTATCTCCTAAAGAAAAATATATTTCTTCTTATCTTTCCATTTTATCAGTGGATGATATACATTCTTTTTCAAGAATTTCTTCTTTCAGGAAACTCACTATGCCCTGCTACCTTCCTCTTGTTAAAAATCTCAGGTTATTTAAAAACAAGCAGCAAACTAGTTTCACGTGTTTTTTTTTGCGACGCCAGGAATGAAAGTTAGTAAAGTTAGTGGGTTAGCACCCATCCAAAGGTCGGGTGGTTAGTTTTAATCATGCATGTTTTCACATAAAGTCAGGAAGCAAAGGCTGAGAGTCAACAGTAGCATACTGGAGGAAGACAGAGGGAAGGAAAGGCAGCATCCCGCTGAGTGTGCTGCAGGAGAACAAAGGCCAGGACCCTCAAGGATTTTCGCTGGCTTTGGTGGAAGCACACCGGATCTTACTTGAGTTAGAAGAGTCTCTATCTCCTCTGCCGGGTTGTTCCCATAGAAGCTGACGCCACCTATCACGGAAATAGGCCTTCTTCTCCGGCTTCCTTTAGGGCAGTCCATGGGAGCAGCATCAGTGGGCACCATGCCCGGCTGGTGTTCACCGTCCACAAAGTCCATTTTCTGGGTGTCCACAGCAACGGAGTCTTCAGGGATAGACAGACTTCGGCTTGCTGACTGGCCATAGTCCGAGAGGGGTCTGGGTCGTGACCTTTTCCCAGAACCCCATCTCCTCCTCGGGATCCTCTGTGCCTCTGCCCTTTCTTCATCCTGTGCTGAGGCTCTCCGCCAGTGCTCATCAGTAATCACCTTTTCAAACGTGAACAAGTTAGATGAGCTTAAATATCCAGGAGCGTATTAAACAAGCACAAACTACGCATCCCCTCCCACCTTCTCGGCCCTTCCTCAAGGCATTCTTGGTTTACTAGCCTATTAAAAAAGAAAGTTATCTGTGTAACAGAAAGTGAAGACACAATTAAAACATGGATTAAAATAAGCAAATCTAACCTTCATTTGACATGAATTAGAAACCACGATTTAAACTGTTGTTTGTTGGCCAATGAAGACCTACGACAAGAGACATTAAGAAAAGGAGCACCACTGTTAATTAAATAAGCTGTGGCAGGCATCTCCCAAAATATCCATAACAATAGCCTGGGGAAAAGCCGGACTGCCAGTAGAAGAAACGAATGTGTAATGCTATTCACACTGCTACTATCAGGCCATTTTCTCCCAATAATGTGAGCTACTTAAAAATAGAAGGTGCTGTAAGAAGATTAAGTTCAGTTCTTGCTAAGGCTGTGGGGCTCCAGGGAGTGGGGTGATGGGTATCGGTCAAAGAACTAGGTCAGGCGAGCTGTGTGATCTTGGACAAGTCACAAGCAACCTTTCCGGATCTCAGGTTCCAGACTAGACAATCACACAGCTCTCAAGAGTCTATGATTCTAAATTGGTAACACCTTCTCATTTTTCAAATCACTTTTCCAGAGGCAACAACATAATGTACTGGGGGCGGGGGAGGGAAGTGGGACATGAGCTTTGGAACTGGCTCTGCCAAATCCAGCTCTGCCACTTGCTAGCTTTGTAAACTCCTGCAAGTTACTTAACCCTCAGTCTCTGGTTCTGCAATTGTTATGGGGATAATAGGTCCCTGTGAGGATGAAATGAGACAAGGGTGAGATAGCCCTTATCAGCTGTTGTTAATGATTGCTCTTAAAAAGCTATGCCACAGAATAACCATAGCCAGGAATAACCCTCTATCTCAGCAGGCAAGACACGGCTGTTACAGAGATAAAGCCGGGACGGTGCAAGGGGGGAGGAGGGGAAGTCTGTGGCATGCTATCCACAGCATGCTTGTGAGCCAGCGCTAGGTGACTTCACTTCTTCCACTTCTATCAATGGTTTTTAAAACCAAGACAAAAAAGGCTGTCAGGGCAAGGGCATAGGGAGAAAAAGTTATTCCTGCACAGGTGAACACAAATAAAAGCTAACCGCAATTCTACTTGAAGTATTTACACAGTTCCATCAAATACTTAAAAGGAGAAAGCACTCCCTCTAAAAGGTACAAGGAGTCTCTGGGTGGTGCAAAAGGTTAATGCACTCAGCTGCTCACTGAAAGACTGGAAGTTCAAGTCTACCCAAAGGCTCCTTGGAAGAAAGGCCTGGCAATCTGTTTCTGGAAAATCAGTCATAGAAATTAAGGTTGGAGTATGTGAGTAGGGCAGGGCTGCAGGGGCGCTGCCTCGAGTCAGGTGCACCAGGCAGGCGGAGGAGCAAGCATGGGAGGCTCATCAAGCTGAAAACATGGGCCCCCCAGGCAGCCCTGCTCCACCCACCCAGGGCTACAGGGGCTGGGCATGGCGAAAGGAAACAGAGGTGGCCCAAGAAGCCTTGCTCTTGACAATTAGTAGCAACAGAGACTTGAAATGGCAAGTCTCCTAATTTCCAGTCAGATATGCCTCGAAGTTCACAAGATCACATCTCATGAAGAATGTGATGAAGTGCCAAGGATGCACGAAGGTATTTACAGGTATTCTACTAAAACCCCTTTGTCTGTCAAATCAGGGAAACTCAGACCTAGAAAAGTTCAGTGACTTGCCCAGTGTCACACAGCCGATTAGTGGCAACAGGGACATTGAAATGCGGCTCTCGTAATTTCCAGTCCAGAAGGTTTTCCACTATACCATGTCACCTCTGCTGAAAAGAAAGCAGTGCACGAATCCTACCAAACTCCACCTACCCTGCTTTTTACCAACTCTCACTGCCTTGAACTCTAAAATTCAAACCCCCATCAAGGGAACATAGGAAAGAAATCACAGAAAAGTTCACATAATTTTCTGCATTACATCTAAAAAACAGACTATAATGGATAGTTTAAGTAAACTGCTAAATCAAATGGCACACACAACTTAAGTAAACAGTAAGAACAAAACCATTTATATTATGACCCGGGGATAAAAAAGATGCAGAAATGATATGCTAGAAAAGAGAAGTACAACCAAATTACAGGCAAGGAGTAGTCTAACTGCTCACGTATCCACATGCATTCTGTGATTGCTTACTTGTTTGTTTCCACACTTCAGCAACATGCAGCCTGCCTTTCCTCACTGAAGCTGAAAATAAGGAAATGGGTTTAGGAAAACAAGAAGTTGTTGCAGTTCTTCAGGTGACAAATCCCCTGAGCATGAAAATACGCTGCAGGAAATGGTCTAAAATGGGTAAAGCTAGGTGTGCTCATGGCAAGGAAATGATACAAGGAGGGGATGCAGCACGGACAGGATTACTCCCTTCCACACATTAGGCCTCAGTTGTCAGCTATTGTTCCCGCACAGGTGAACACAAATAAAAACTGCAATTCAACTTAAAAGTATTTACGTATACTGTTCTATCAAAATAGACTGAAGGAGAAAGCACCAGCTCTAAAAGGTACAAGGAGTCCCTGGGTGTTGCAAAGGGTTAACATGCTTGGCTGCTAACTGAAGGGTTGGAGGCTCGAGTCCACCCAGAGATGCCTCAAAAGAAAGGCCTGGCGATCTATTTCTGGAAAATCAGCCATTGAAAATCCTATGGAGCACATTTCTCTGACACACATGGGGTGGCCATGAGTCAGAACTGACTCCACGGCAACTTTTTTTTTTTTTTAAATAAACAAGCACACACCAACAAACAACCCTCTCCAACAACACCAACAGCCTACCTCAGAATGTGCTACGGGTAGTGGCTGGCCACACACACACTGAAGGAATAAGCAGGTGATAGCATCCATGTTTTCTAAAGATTTGTTTTTGCCTTTAAAACACTACAAGCAAGGAGGGATATGCTTCTAGGCCAGGTTCTTTCACAATCTGGCAGTCTAAGCTTCAGATAAATTCAGGGCTCTATACGCCTGAATAACCAATTCACGCCCGAGTCATAAACTCTTGTAAACAGACTTTTCTGTGGAGTGCCCTTTTAACTCTGCCTTCTCACTATTAGTTTTAAAAAACTTTCCCTAGTCAGTGGTTTTCCTTCTTATACAAGATACCTTTCTTTACAAAAGTAAAAGCCAAGACAGATCTGTTACCTCCTTTTTGAAACCACAGTAAAAGAAAATTATTAATGGGGGGGGAGTAAAAGGTTCCCACAAAACAATTTGATTTCACAATACCCATTCAAAAGCCTGACCTAAAGTTAAGTATATGGGGTCAAACATCATGGTAATTCAGAAAAAATTACAGGCAAGGAAAACTAAAGACACTTTAATGAAGATTTGGAAAAAAATTAGAGACTTCACTCCAAAGGAGCTAAAAGGTATCCTGAAGAGGCATACTAATACAACAAGCAAACGTCCCAGATTTTCCCCAGGAAACCAGAATCCTGCACACCATAGAGAATTCAGGTACAGTGACAGAGCTGGAGGTCAGAAGGGAAAACATCCTGACAATGAATGATGTAGAGTACTGGGGAGAAATTAAAACTAAATTTTGGAATGCTGACTCCATGCCAGACTTGTCCCAGGCACATGGATTACCTTAGTCAAGCTTCACAACCACTCTTTGAGTAAGTACTACTGGCCGTATTTACACTGGGTTGAAAACAGATAAAATTACTTGCTCAAGTTAATACAGCAAGTAAGGGGAAGAGCCCATTTTACAGCCTGATCTAATTTCAAAATCTCGGTCCTCCCTCTCTGCAATACTGCATCCTTGGTGTGCATTTCTACAGGAGACTTCCAGTACCAGGTGTGGTGGAGTCAACTCCAACTCATGGCGACCACATGTGTGTCAGAGTAGAACTGTGCTCCACAGGGTTTTCAGTGTCTGAGTTTTTGGAAGTAGAACGATGGACCTTTCTTTCAAGGTGCCTACAGGTGAATTCGAACCACCAACTTTTTGGTTAGCAGCAAGAGTGTTAACCATCTGCACCACCCAGGGACTCTATAGCTGGAGAAGAAGGCTAGACTTCATAGATCCTTTAGAAGTGGAACTTCTTGGAGGGAGCGCATAGTGTGTGGGGAGAGGAGAGCAAGTGACAGTCATCAGAAGCTTAGAACCTTTATGGGACACTGGAACCTCTTAGAAAAACTGAGGAAACCTATAGACCCCTTCTCATAATCGCATTTTTAAATGCAGAAAAGAAAAGAGATATGGTTTCCAATTAAAGGAAAAGCTATGAAAGCCAGAACCTGTCTAAGGCAGAAACCTGTCAGAGAAGGAAAACTCAAATATTTTCCACTAATAGAGAGCAACAGAAAAGTGGTAAGACTGCACCCTGTCAAAGGTGGAAAACTTGCAAGACTCAGAAACACAAGGCAACCCATCGAGTTTCAGCTCTCACAGGTCTCACTGTATTTTGAAATATAATTATCAAAATATTAAAATATTGCGATGTAGTAATACATGTGATTCTTTACTAACACATGAATTCACACAACTAGTGATAGGTCTAACAACCAGTATTGCTTTGAAGTACTGATAAGTGATGTTTCAAGACATCAGCAAAAACTGTACTGTGATGTGAAAAATATCTGTGATTTCTATTGGTGACAACATCACAAGTACTGCTAAAATTGCTACGGTTCGATGCCTACATTCATAATTGAAAGAACTGCTAAATTTTGGCTAGTGGTTAGGAAAGATAAAAATAAAAATTTCTCACTCCTTGATTTCTGTTAATGTAGTCATTGGATGAACCTCCTCAGATCTTAGATTAAAACCCCCAGGTTAGATAATATCGCTTAAAAGTAGCCTATGTAGGGGGAGGCAGAGCCAACATGGCACTACAGACAGAAGCACCATGCCATCCCTCTGCAGCAAAGACCCGAAAAACTA